AATATTTGCACCTTCCATCAAACGTTGTAATTTATAATTTGATATATATCCGATTTATACTCACCGAAATGATATTTTAAAGTGAATTTCGTTTATCGTTCCGCAATGAAATGTTCGGTTTTTGTCAATTCAAACCTAACAGATGACAATTATCATTTCAATTAATTTATCAATCAACATTACTATTACTCAACATATCATGTTCACAATAATTGGTTTGCCATCTGCACCATCGAGATGAGTCCATAAACTCGAGTCGTTGTAGCATTTCAACCAATCTTTATTGTCCGCATCAATCAGTTCGAATGGCCAGAATGTTTTGCTGAAATATAACTGATTTTTAGCACAAAAACATTTCGGTGAAGAATTAAAGCGAAAACTTTTTAAAGTTTATTTTGATATATTATATTCCTTTTTACATAATAATGATCCGTTTGTTGTGTGTGGCAAACGGGTGAATTGCGTATTGTTGGTTGAATTGAATAATTTGAATAAGTGAATGAATAAAGTTTCGTATCGTTGACATTAAATTTTAACTGATAATGAGAAACTTTTAGAATATTTTGGTGAAATTTTGACAAATAAAGTAATCTGATAAGAAATTATTTGCAAAATGAGTTGATTATATATATGAGAAATGGTGTTTCGAGAGATTTATGAATAAATGTGAATTGAGCGATATATTTGGAATGATATTTCGAGGAGAATGAACGCCGATTAGTTTTACAATTTCGCAGATAAATCTCTCGTCAACACACATTTGCTTTTGCATTCGATTGATACAATCAAACAACGAAATGAACTCGTCCAATTTATTTTCAAATGCACTCAAATGAAAATGCAATTTTGCACATTACATCAACATTACGAACGGAAACTATTTTAATAAATGAATTCAATTCGCTACGAAGTTGAACTGACCTGATGCATTCTTGGCATACTCGCATTTCAAGGGCTGTGAAGACCTCATCTGGGGGGCTAGAAAATGGATAGATCGTGAGTGGTGTGCTCACTCCAACACTTACCAGTTTATTTCCAGAGCGAACCGCTACACATGGCATACATTCAAACCATTCTCTAAAAATTAATTCCAAAATGAAACTGCAGCCGTAATTACGATTTTTGATAGTGTTTGCAGAGATGATTGTTTTGTGAATGTAAAATGTTAAACAAATGGAGTTGCTGCGGTCAGATGCTGAATTTAGAGCAATATGAGAATGGAAGTCAATAAACTCGAAAGAAAGCCTCAGCTTCCTTCGTTGGCATTCTTCTTTCCGCGCAGCTAACGATAATAGCGTTTGGAATCATTGGACAAATTATTTAACAACGAAATAACATTACTGATCAATTCGCATCAATTTGTACATAGAAGGAATGCATCTAAATGAGTCGGCATACCTTAACACTTCGATATTGGTTTCATTTCTCTCGAGGATCCGAGCATCGGAACTTCGATTCACGTCATCGAATCGATATAGCGACGGCAACTCCAACTTCATTTGAGTGACTCTTTTTTGCTGTTCTTCGTTCATGTAAAACAGTTGATATGACCAATCGCACTCCCATTTCCTTTTTGTTTGCTCATTGCAGAATTGAATAACCTGAAAGGAAAACTTTTTATTAAGTGGAAAGTAATCGCACCGACAAT